ATTATTCTGGAGGAGTACTATACTATACCCTTAAACTATATAATGTAATAAGTTTCTGTTCCCAGTTTTTCATCTTTTCAAATAAGCCACAGGCCTTTCCAGACAGCAAAAATGCAAGAGGAATTGGGATTTTAAATCCAACATTCTCTCGAGATCTGAATACCTCAGGCTACTCTGTTTTGTTTAGCCCAGGTTTTAGGGCTATGTAGAAGGGCCCACAGTTTGCAGTTAGCACTAATCAATATTGGCCTTGCAGTGAATTGCTTTCCATCCTTTCATATAATTCATCCTGGGTAACATGGTGTAGTGGACATCGACTCTGGAGTCCCATTCCCCATTTGGCCATGGGAACCCACTTGGTCACCTTGGGTGAGTAACACATATTTCTCTTCAATATATAATAGTACTTTTTAATAGTTTAGGCAATTGATACCATTATTGTGTCCCACATTTTGGGTAACAATTTGTTTAAGCAAGAATGTTTTTTTCTTAAAAAAAAACATATGTGTGTGCTGTTATTTGGTGAATCAAGCCCCAAAGGTATTGTGATAAAGATGTTACATCAACAATACATACATAAAAACATGAGCAGTACAGAATGTGACAGATTTCCAATGTTTGGGTTCATTTGCTCTGTATGAATAAAACACCATTGGGGCTTCATTAGATGTATTTGTCTTCAACATCTGCTTTCCCTCTTAGCGTCTTCCAGCTAAATCCGAGCCAGGGAATCCTTTCCTGCCCCTGATGGTTTCGTATAGTTCAAACATGACTATCATATAAAAATATCTGAAAGACTCTTCAGACTGGACTGCACTTTTTCATTTTTACTTTGAGAGTCGGGGTCAAGCCATTTTAAATTACTCTGGATTGAAACCAGAGTGATCCTTCCTTGAATGGAAAGCTTTCTCTTTAAGGAAAAAATTAACATTGAGCATAGGATCCCTGCTAAAAGAAGCAAGAAAATTTTCATCTGCTCAGCACATTCTTCCAAAACTGTTCAAGAAGATCTCTGAACAGTCTGATGATGCTTCTCAGGGGACTAGAGAGATTGAGAGGGGGGAATCATATATAGTTCTCACCTCTACTGATATCATCCCATTTCTGTGAGTTCATCTTGCAGAAAAGAAAGATCCAATCCAGAGATGGAAAAGTAAGGTGAGGGTTACAGCGAGGGCAAAGTAAGAGTCAGTCCCCAAATTTCTAGCATTGCAGTAATGGAGAATTTTAGGGGCAATGTTCTTATTTTGTTCCTCTCCCAGCTATTAGGGCTGTGTATGAAAAATGGCCTCCAGCTGATCCAACCAGCCGCCACAGGCTCCACCACCATTTTTTCCCAGCTGCAACAGACCATGTGGCTGCTTAAACAACTGTTTTCTTTTTCTTTCCTGTGAACCCTGCCTTTTGAACCAATCAAACCAGAAGGAAGCCATGATGTGTATTTTTCTGTTGCGAGCAGGCTTCTGGAAGAGACAGATTGGTGATCTAAATTCTCAGTGCTGCTCACAGCTCTGCATGGATTGGCTTGCTTTTTGACTCAAATACTATAGTAATAAGTAAACACTTTACTTTCTACACACTTGAAACTGCCGCCAATGGTGCCTTTCACACGAGGCAAGCTTCAAATATGGAGTAGTGGTATCTTAACATTTCTAAAGCCCCCATAAAATGAGGAGATAATTTATATATTTTTAAAGAATGGCTAACGCTCCTTCAGGTAGCATGGCTCCCATTGCAATAAGTGTTTAACTCAGCTTCGTTGAGGGCAAACAATCCCAAAAGGCTGGTTTCTTAAACCTGATGCTTTTCATCCAGGTCTTATTGAAGAATATAAGGAGAAAGGATCCCAGAAAGGAGGGTTTCTTAAGACTGATGCCCTAAAAATGATGGAAAGGTAAGCCTCGTAAGTTCCCCATTGCCACTGATGCACCAGATCCTCTCAGCTCCTTCGATTGCTGGATCGAAAAACAGATTTCAATCCTCCCAAATCTGGGAAGCTCCCAAAAAACAGAAAGAGAGGGCCACAAATTTGGGACACTGAAAATGGATTGTGATTTAGCCAAATTGCACACCCCTACCAGCTATACCACAGATGGCAAAATTATTTGTTTCATTTTTTGATTGCCCCAACACAGAGTTTTATTGGTAAGAGACATTCAAAAAAAGGTTACCGTGCCTCCTCCTGTACAGTATTAAGAAGTGTTAGCTATGGTGCCATTGTGATTGTGTCTGGGAGATGTCTTCCAGTATTATCCTTCACTGCCACTGCTGCCCAGTAGCTGTTTGGCACATCCAGTCTGGCTCCTCAGCAAAAGCCTGACAGACATGGGAGGCAGCAACACTGTTGCCATCAACATAACCTCTTGCCTTACATGAGCATGAAATCTCACCATAACGGAAAGGTAGTGCCATGGTGGGATATATATCTACATCTGTATCTATGTTACAACAACTGTCTAAATCCAAGGGAAAAATATGAAATACACAAAAAATCATTCAAAATACTCAGAAGCTGTTTATTATTCTCTTCTCTTCTTTCTTGAAGCATTTTTCAACTATTGGCTCCAGGCCAAAACCCTTGCGGAGGAAGTGGAGTCATCATTCATTAAAAACATATGCAAAGCTCTGATAGATCATGTCAAGGAATGCTTAATATAACCAACTTTGACATTTAACAAAGAGCCTTTGACCCTGTTATAAATATTTAGGAATTAAGACAGTCACAAAAATCTGTATTTTATGCTTCAGAACATTCAAAGCTAAAGGGTATTTCCATTCCTTCTCTGTCTGTGCAGCTTGCTCTCTTTAGTTTGAACATTCAGTTCCAGCTCTGTTTTTAATTATAATATGGCTATCCAATGCAGCCGATTTCTGTAATAACCAGATTTGTTAGTGGATGAATTTTATATTGTATCAATATTTACTATTCTGTTAAATTAAGATTGTGTTGTTATAGAACATTACGTTATTATAGTTCATTAAGATAACAGTATAGAACAAGAATCTATTTGAAATATGAATTTACTATTGTGAGAAGATATACTAACCATAATTAGAATGCATAAAATCACTTCCCTAATCTATGATCATATCGGATTATCTGAAATTCCAAAATCCATAATATTCCAAAATCCAATTTTTCCACAAGTGGCTGATATAGTGAAACCTTTCTTTACTGAAGGCTCAATATACCCAAATTTTGTATCATGGACACAATGATTTTTTAGAAATACCTTCAGGCTATGTGTTTAAAGTGAAACAAAAATGAATTTCATGTTAAGACTTGAATACCATCTCTGAAATATCTTATTATTTATATTCAACTATTCCAAAATCTGGGGTGGATTTGGTGTATGTGGGGAAAGAGAGTTACTTTCTTGGACTACAACTCCCAGAATCCTTAAACCCCTTGACCAGTGCCCTTGTTAAATGAGGGTCCCAAAGGTAACATTTTGAAGCTCTGACCTGTATTGTTTCATTTCTCATCTTAAAAGTAGTCTCTTGAATTTGCTTCCAACCAGGAAGGTCCAGAAATCAGACTGAGGTTGATTGATCTCTGGACAATTTCCAGTCAACATTTTTTATTATCGGTAGTTTAATAATAATAAAAAAGATTGGCCACTGCTTCCTCTGAAATCAGCTCCTTGTATCTCTCCCTAGATCCATGTGTATAGGTCATCCTAGTGCATGGCTCATGGGAAGCCAAGCCATGTTCCCCTGATGTTGTGCCTAGAGTTCAGCAATCATCACACACACATACCCTTCAGTATTTTGCACTTGGCTCTGGTTTGTAGAGTTTCTAGATGACAACATAGATTCCTATATGGTATGTTCAGCATTATTCCTTACCACACGTCAGAATGGTAGTGGTTCTTGTGGGTAAGCTTAGATCAATTGCAGACACACAAGTTTATGAGTAGTAAGTAGACTCAGAGGGAAGGCTTTCACTGAATTTCTGCCACCTTCCTGCAAAACACATCAACAGTGGCAGAGTAATTCAGTAACCCGCTGCTTAATCCAGTAAGAATGAGATCTGATATAGTCATACTCTGTGGTTGTTAATGTCAGAGTTATATCAACAACCCCAGGGCTGTCGGCTTTATTTATTTAAAAGAAGAAGAAGAATCTGGTGATAGCAACAATTATGTTAGATTAACCTTGGCATTACTCCAGTAGGAAAGGAATATTGCCAGCCAAACATTGTTCCAAATATAATATATCTGTTACTGTTCCTGGGTTTCTATTTATTATGTTTGGAACACTAAGCTGTACTTAATTGCAGGAACAGAATGCCAGTGTATCATGCCAGCTAGGTTTCTCATGATCTTGTGTTTTGCTGTGAGGGGAAAAAGCCTCCTTCTATCTTTGCTTGCGCTTTCAGCACAACTGTCTTTGATCTTGTAGTTTCATGTGTTTTCCATTTCCTCCTTTTTCATCTGGGACAATTAATGCAATTATGAAATTGTAATCTTTCATCTTCTCTCTATATTTCCCACTCCCAAACAATATCATGTTTTGTCATACATGACAGCAACATAGCACCTCTTGCTTCCAGATTTGTGACATTGCTGACCATCTGGCAGTTGATGATCTAAATACACTCATGTTAGTCCTAATGAGAGAAGACAATTTTAATAAAGGGTAAATCAACATTTATGTAAATCTCAATTATTAAATTGCAACTAGTAGTTGGATTAGGTCCATGTCTTTTAACTCCAGCTATTTACATCAAGGTACTCTTGTCTGTACATGAGAACTTCAACACATTAGTTGGAATGACAAAGGGGAGTATTACCCTACTAGTTCTGTTGGACCTTTGAACTATTTTTGATACCATTATCCACAGTATCTTTATGGACTGCCTAACTAGAATGGGTTTGAGAACACCATGTTATGAGAGGTCTGATCCTATATGAATGCTCCGTTTTCCTGACTCCTTTGGTCTGTGGAGCACTGTAAGAGTTTGGGGAAATCCTGCCCTTGGAATAAAGAAAACATACTTAAGCAAAGGGGAAGAGACACAAGCCATATTGACGATGAATATCAGCTGGGTGATTGTGAAGGTGTGCATGAAGAGTAGGGCTGCAGGAAGATAAAAATAATGAACACTGAGAAGCAGGGAAAGAGAGAGATCAGATGCCTTTGGATCTGATTGTAATATGATGGCAGTAAAAGACTAATTGTGAGTACCTTATCAGCATGTCTGCTTCTGCTTGAAGATTGTTTTTCTGCATTAAATCTATCCACAGCAGAGGAACAGCTTTAAATCATGCATGCCATATCTCAGGCTGTTTCTATTCCCATGCAGGAGAAAACACTTCCACAGGCACCTCAACATTTCACCTTGTTTCTTCTGCAAGTTGGAGATGCCACCCAGAAATTTGGGCTACAGTGTTACCAAAATGGAAATAGTATGCAGCTTTACATACATTCCTCAGGGAAGGTGTGGAATGCTTGGAAGGTGCTTTGAGATGGCTTGAGGAGATAGGCAAAGGCAAGCAAACTAGCCAGTTATCTAGACAAGATGGAAATACTTTTCTGATATTGATTAAGGAACCCCTTGTAACTTCTGGTACTTCTGGACTTCTTGCTGAGTGAGAAAACTCAAGTGACATCTGCAGTTAGGGGTGTCTCAAATTAACTTTTAGACACTTTAAATGCAGTCATGCAACAACATCAAGATAATATTTGATACAATCAATCCAGCAACAAAAGACATTGTTGGATCTAGAACATGGCCATGTAGCCCCAAAAAACCTACAACAACCCAACAAAATACATTATTTGTGAAGTAAAATAAGAATACTCTTAACTGATGAAAACAGGATAGAAATCAGGAAACATATCAACTTTTCTCCAATGTCCTCTTTTTAGACAGTTTTGGTGAGGCCATCAAAAAGAACAAAGAGACAACGATGCTGGTTTCCTCGGATGGGCACTCCATAATGTCAGTAAAACACGTGAAAAAAAACATGCCCCTTGTATCTGCAGACAGTGCTCAGTAGGCATTAGATGTTAGAGAAGGATTTTGGAAGTTGTGAAAAGAGGGGGATTGCAAAGACACTGTATTTCCATTGTGTTTTTCAAAGCTAATGGAGACATATGAAACCTTTCAACAATTATAAGAAGTAGATAGCATACCGTCTTTCAAAATAGTAGGCTATGAGATCATGCCATGAAATATTATTAAACTGCAGATTGACATTTACTTAAACTTGTAGGCATAATTTAGTACACACTCAACAACTTAGCTAGCTCTGATTTCACTCCTTATTAAAATTTAACATGATGGACAGTTCAGCCTTTGCCAACTCTAACTTCATTTCAGTACTTTCATTGTTACATAGATTTTCTTTCCCAAACCAGACCAGAAAAGAACTGGCCAGCTGATCATTTGCATTTAAAATGTGGTGGAAGTTCCTCATTTGTTGGTAATGAATGCGAACTCTTACAGACACAAATTCTTAAACTATATATTTGATTATGGTATTTATACTATATATGTGTGTGTGTGTATATATTTTAAAAAGGTTTTAGGCAAACTCATGAACTATTTTTCATGATTTCATTTTTCCTTGCTATTGGTTTTTTAATATTAGTTTGGCTTATTGGGGTTGGAAAATGTTTCTCCTCTCCCATTAATTCAGATTTCAACTGTTTTCCATGAGACTTGTCACCTGTCTGTGAAACCTAACACTGTGTTCATTGAATCTGTAATATTTCACAAGCAATATTTCCCTTGAGAGTATTAGTGGATCCCACTAATGGTTAGAATCTGCTCATACTCAGAGCTTGATAAATATGATGATATAATGGAAAGATTGGCCTCAATTAAACCATACTGTGTTGATCAATGTCTGTGGAGCCCTTAGACCCTGAAGTACAGATTTTCACAGTGGCAGTTTGACCATTTCCATGAACATGGATGTGCTCATGCTATGAATTGTGTTGTTGTTATTCACATTAAAGTTGATTCTAAGTAATGGCATCCTACAATAGGATTTTATTGACAAGTTTTTTGAGAAATCTTTCCATTGCCCTCTTCTAAGGCTAAGAGTGTGTGATTTGCCAAAGATCATAGAGTGGGAGATTTGAAACTTTTCGATATCCACGGGATTTGGGGTGCTCACATCCCATACTATACAATAGCATTGTAAAATTTTGTCCCTTATACAAAATGGCAAACACAAGGTTTCTCCTGGTTCCACAAAATAAATTATATATTTCCTAGTACACTTGCACATTTGTGTAATGCAAACTAATCATAGCTTGGAAAAAATATTTTAGTAAGTTTATGAAATGAAGTAGTTTTCCAAGCTCTCAAAGCAGTAGTAAATTTACCAACAAAGAACCCTTAGAAGTTGTTCTCCAGCTGCAGCAGTGCACACATGGTGGGCAAACTGAAATCGAGCTGTAGAACATGCTTGTTAACTTTTTTCAAACTCTACAATTTTCCCATCTACGTAAATGCTCTTTCCGGTACTTAAGCAACTGTTAGTCATTTTCTATTCAGCTGACTTTAATTTTTGTCCACATTCTTCTTCAACCAAATCAAACAAAGTACAAATACTAATTCCAGAAATGTTTGCTGTGCTTTATTGACTTTAATAAGAGGTTTTGAAATATTCTTTTCTGGTAAATGGGCACATGCTTATCTTCACATGATCCACATGTTGGATTGCTGACCTCTGTTCATTCAGAATGCCTCTGTTCCTAGCAGAATCCCTTGCCAGCCATTGTGCTCATCCTGCTACAACTCTAAGACTATATAACTTGCCGGGGGGGGGGGGGGGTAGTGATCTCTGCAAGAGGATTCTAAATCCATCAACTACAATATAAGTCACATATTTCTTTAGGATGAAGCCACCACAGTACTGTACTGCAACAGTGTAGTGCAGAGGCTCTCTCCCACAGGCTATATGGTTTTGTGCCAAGTGGAATGAGGGGAAATTAGAGGAAATATTTATTATGGTTCCAAAGCTTCATCACATTAATGTTAAGGCAGGCCTTCCCTTAAATATATTCCTGGCCTTGTTTCCCAATTAAGATCAGGAACAAGGAAATTATAAATTTAAGAAGTTTTATTACTGCAGTAGAAAATTAACAGGTGAATTCTGGAACCGCCAGGTGTATCACAAAGAAAATGGTAGCTATACAGGGTACAGAAAATTACACAGAAACACACTAATACTTCTGTCCTAGCCCCACCTCTCAACTCCTCCCAGTTCCACTTCTGTTCTTGCCCCTCCCAGTTGCCACACCCTGCATAGCCAAGATTCATCAGACTGAGTCCTCTTGTTTATTCAGAATTTGCAACTGTTTTATCTTTATCTGGCTATTTCCCAGGTCAAATTTAGCCTTGACTTGAATGATTTCTGAATGTCCTTTTGTTTGTAGAGCTAACTGCTCACTCCTAACTTTTCCTTCCTCCCTTCTTCTGACATGTTGCCTAAACCAACAGCAATCTATTTCAAAATGGCAACTAGTACAGATTTTATTCTCTAACAATTAATAACAATTCTGTTATTCCAGTCAGCTCTCTTCATTACCCCTCCCTCCCCATCCATTTTATTCCATTTCACTGGCAATAATGGAAGGTGAATGGAGTGCCTTGCAGGACTTCCTACTTCCCCCATCACATGGGGGCATCAGGACAAAGTGGCGACGCAAGTTGACTTTCCGCCCATTACATGAGTGAAAGGCACCAGAAATGTGAGTAGCTTCATTGGAGCTAACCAAAAGTCATGTACCTTCCCATCCTTGGTGAGGAAGTGTAATGTGATGCTTCTTTGCTACTTCAGGCATGAATGGGGCTGGGCCAAGCCAGTGTCATGTGATGGTGTTCAGCAGGCCCCATCCCCAAAGAGTAGTAAGGGGCCAAAAGCCCTAAGTATGATAAGGTGGTGACTTCTGAAAGTTTTGAAACATTGAATTCTACTGAGGAATGTCAAACATAAAAGCATGTTGTTGTTCATTCGTTCAGTCGTCTCCGACTCTTCGTGACCTCATGGACCAGCCCACGCCAGAG